GCTGTTACTGCACTGATATTGCTGCTAGTCTGCTGGAGTTAGGGGGGAAAAGCAGAGAGAGAGCGCTGTAAAACGTTTTGATGTGAAAAATGGCCTTGGATGCACACAGAGTATACTTGTCTGTGAGAAAAATATCATTCCACTTGATCAGGTAAAAAAGTTCACCTTTTTCTAGATGAGAGAAAAAACCATGATCTAATGAAAGTTCCTTGGCTGAGCTAGTATTTCTGCGCTATTTTATGTCCTTGTAGCTTTGACTTAAAACTGCTAGTATTAAACAATAGTTGAATAGGATCTCAGTCATAGTTGAAATGTACATCCACATTTTCTTAATTTCGATGATCCCAAAAAATAATAATTATATTTCTCACACAATTTTGCACACACAAATGTAAACATTCCCTGAGCTGCCTGTACACATGCACAGGAAGATAATGTGCATTCTCTCCAAAAATACAACTTGCAAACATGCAGGTTGCCGTTCCCAAATTTACAAGTGGATCACATAGACACACACATGGACACACACACTTCTCTGCTGGCAAGCTCGCACCCTCTCTGGGCAGATACCAGGCCTTTGATGGCCTGCTGGGCTCATCCAGGCTGCTTGGTTAAAAGTGTGTGTGTGCTTGTGGTTAAATCCACCTTGGCCACAGTTTGCCTCTCCATCTCCCCAGTGTGACAGCACTGAAAAGAGCTTCTGTTTCAGGGCCAGCCTCATCCCACATTAATCAACAACGCCGTGAGGGCGAGCAGGAGGGAATGGGAGGCATGGAAGGGTAGCAAGAGCGGAGGAGGATGGTAGTGGAGACATAAGGGGCAGAGAGGACACTGCTCCAAACTACCCACTTCCCACATTATTTTCTTCTCTAATTCATCTTCTCTCCGGTTATCTATTGATTATGTCCCTTGTGGATATCTTATTTTCTTTCATTTTACAAGCCAATCAAGTCTCTTTCATTACTTTATTCTCATCAATGACTGTTGTGCGGTTACGTCAGCAGTCTGAGCCACACAAATGCATATAGAAAAAAAAAATGCTGACGAAACCATTTTTTAAGTGTGACACAGTCCTCTCCCCTCTTTGCACCAAACAACAACCAAATATATGAACCACAACAACTATTTTCATCTCTCCTATGTTTCTCATCATTGCCCTTCTTCCTCTGCCAGCCTTAATTCCTCTCCCCCTGTTGCTCCCACACTCTGCCATGTTCCCCTCTGCTGCTTTCTCCCTCTGTCACTCTCTTGCTGTGTTGTAATAATAAACACCCCATCCAGCTGGGCTGATATATGAATGGAGTCGGTCTCATCGCCTGTTGCCCGGCGAAGCAGCAGGCATCAGTGGAGAGTCTTGAAGGCTCTGACTCCCAGGTGATGCATCCTGGCCTTAATGATGGTGGTCTTGGAAGTCTTTACAGTCTACATCCTAAATTATTTGCGCACACAGAGGTATTTAATCACTGGGAATGGTGTAAAACTAATGAAAATAGATCCACACCTCCCTGTTTCTTCTCTAAGGCTTGTTTGAGAGCTACGTGATTGAGACTATTGCAATTACAAGTGCAATGTAGTGCAAAAGTTATGCAACAGATATTGGATGACATTTAATTTATATCATCATTGTTCGGAGAATGACAGAATGTTGGTCACCTGTTGGTCAACACAGCAGATTTCTGTGAAGAGCTGCAAGGACTCTGATTCTGTGTAAAAAGGTGGTCATGAAAAGCGTTCATCAGTCTTCAGACACAGGTTGTAGAGAAAATGGGCCATGACTATTAATCTCCCGGGAGATGTGTCCCTTTTTTGGATTTGGGGAGCCTGTGCTGGACCAGGTATAAACTTGTGTACTTGACCTTTATGGATGGAGAGGATTGTTTCAGGTGAAAATATTTGCATAGAAACACGTGCTTGGACTGAAACTGGCTGCAAACAGTACCAAAACAAAATATCAGTTCATCAGTCGGCCTAGCCCAGTAATGTTTGTCTGGCCTTTTGGATGCTA